TTTTTATCCATAAATCTTGGTTGGAGGTGTTAAGCTCAATCTACAGCATTTATGGCATTTGTATAGCCATTATTGGTGATTACCACAAATTAGTCAGACTTTTCCCTCCTTACTTCATAGCAAAAAGCAAAAATTTGAGGCACTTACAAGTGGAAGTGAATGGGGCCAATTCGTAAACATCTAAACTTTAGATGGTAAAGACTCACTGTTTCAAAGGTAGCCAAAAAACAAAAACTAGATTTTAGTGTAAAATAAGTGCTTACTAACCTTTTCGGTGTGAAGTTATATTCAACGAAACACCTGAAATCTTAAAAAATACAGAGCCTTATGTATGACATGGCCATGAATTAAGAATTAATTCCCACTAATTATTAGTTTATTAGTTTATTATAGTTATTAGTTCCTTCGTTGTAAATAAATCGCGGCCATTAATTAAAAATTAACCCTTATTTTAGTAAATTGAAGCCACCTTGTACTAATTTGTTCCTTTGTTTTAATTAAATCAGAATGAATTAGTACAATATGGCCATAATTTAATAAAACAAGGGAATGAATGAATGAGTCACAGGAACAAATTCTTAATTCGCAGCCAAGATTTATGCAAAACGAGGGAACAAATTAATAAAACAAGGGGATAAATTCTTCATTTGTAGCCATGATAAATATCTTTTGTCATGTGCCGGGCTCCATAATAACGACCATAAAATATAGACTTCATATTTTAATTTTTAAATCCTACAGTAATTGGCCCTATTCACTTCCATTGTACAGTGTAAGTGCCTCACCGTAAGCTTCACATTTTTTATTTTATTTTTATTTTTTTAAGAATAGAACAGACGAGTTGATTTTTTTTTCTTGTGGTAATCAACATTATGTCAGAAATGTTGTTGTTTTCTTTTAAGAACATTATTTTAAAAGCCTTCACCACCTACTGCTCCTCAACCACCTTGACTTTATTTTAGGTCTCCTCTATAACTCTGACATATTTTGTGTGCTTGAATAAAGATGTCCTAACGTACAGCTTGGTGGAAAGGGGCGAGTTGATTCTATAAATAAAGCATG